CCAACTCTGCCGCTACTTCACAACCCCTCCGTTTTTCAGTCTCCCCCTCTCTAGACCACTGAAATACAAATGTTTGAGGTGTAAAATTCAGCAATTCAGAACCCCAGAGTCCTAAAAAGCTGTTAACTAACTGGGCTTTGAAAATGTCAGTCAGTAATTGTAGTTTATGCATGTGATTTCTCTGGATGAGAGATGTTGACATAGGAACCAGCCTGGTGCTTGCATCTGAAGCTGCCAACCTAATTTTTAACCTCTGTGACAACAGAACAGCTGCAACATCTATACAGCAGGTACTAACGTACTATAATCTACAACTGCCAGTAGTGGAACTGCCGGAGATTGTCCCCAGAAGCCCAAGAGATTGCTCCACGACCATTAAAAAGGTGGCACATGCACTGAATAGATACAAGCAGCAGAGAAGAGGAAATACTGAAATGGTTGCAAAAGGTGCACAACCCCCAGCTCCACTAATGGGAACCATTGGCTACAACCGTGCGTGTGCATGTGTGATCTTAAAAACATCCCACCTACTTTTTTTATTTTAAAAAGATATTTTGAAGCCGAAACAACCATTAGCCATAAGGAAAGAGCGTAGTGCTGGGCCGGAGCTTGAAGTCCTTACACTCTGAGCCTGCCAACACATACATTAATTCACTCACATGTCCAGTCTCATTGACCTCAATAGGACTAGTCACATGAGTGAAGTTACTCAGGGGTGCAGGGATTTGCTGAATCAGGGCCCTTATTCTTTCTCACTGAAGTCAATGGAGATTTTATCTGAGTAGGGATTACAGGATCAGGGCCTTCAGCAGACGAACACGCCTCCTCTAATGAAATATACACCTAAACTTTGGTATTTTGTACAAATCTGGTAGAAATAACAAAGAAGTCTGTAAAATACATCAAAAACCATACTTTATTTTATGTATAGCAATACAATTTACATATTAAATAACACTATAATAGAATGATTTGATATAGTTTTAAACATAACAAAAAGGAGATTTTCAAGTTACAAAAAAACCGAAACCCAAAACAAACAAAAAACCCCCTAAAACCAAAAACAAAACAAAAAGCAATCAAAAAATAACTTCCCAAAACCAAACACCAATTCTCCCCCCTCCCCCCGGAATGGATCAATGAGACGAACTTCTCCAATGGCTGACTAAGTCTAATTCCTATTGCACACACACTGACAATGGAATTGAAAGAAAATCCAACTTTCACAATCACTGCCCCCAAAGAAAAAACATGTGTTGAATTCTTTTTGGAATGTGATGATCGTGTTTCACTACTTCAATACACAGAAAGTATGTCTTCACATGTCCACCACAAAAAAACTATGAAGGAGTTGAAACTAGAAAAAAATTAGCTTTATATGAAAATATAAAATTCTATGATTATATACCATAGATACAAAGTTCCCAGAAGATGCTTACCCAAGCAACAAAATATTTACAGTTTTAAGGATTTCTGCTATTTCAAAATGAAGGAAAAGGAACTATGAGTAGATGTGAATGCTTAGTTTTTTAGAAACAATGGCTGCTTGCTAGTTTCAAACGTTCTAACAAAACAAACAAACAAAAAAGTCACTACCCCAAATGTTGGAGAGTTGTGACATTTTATAAAATTGACTATCTCCTCTTTTGGAGACATGCTTATTCTTAAAACTCAAGACATTTTTCTTGAAATTAATTAATTATCTTCTGTAGAAAATGCTTCCCTTTGCAAATATTTAACAAAAATACTAAAAACAGTTTAACAGCAAAGATAAAGTCGAGGCCAAATCTCTTCATTACAGTTCCTTCTCTTCCTCTCTCCATTTTGTGTGCCTTCTCCTTAGATAAGCAAAGTCAATGTAGTTTACATTGTTAGAATGGCAACAAAGAGAGAAAGTGGGGGAAATAAAAGCAATGCAGTGGACTAACAATTATGCCTTTTTGCCTTCATATAAAAATTCACTGGCACCATTTGAACATAAACTTCAGAACACAGGAGTTGATGGCAGAAGAGAATGAATTTGAGAGCATGACTGCAAAATATTTTAGACTCCTACATTTTATTATTTTTTCTTTAAATTAAGATTTTTTTTTCTGAGAATTAGTAATAGGTATCTTTGGTAAAAACTGATATCTATATTTTAACTTTCAAATAAAATGCATCTGTTGAAAAAAACAGAAAAGGATGAACAACAAGGCAGTTGTGCTGTGTCATTAGAAAGGTTGTTTTTCTAGTGTTCCAACAGATCACTCTGAGGGAAGCAATTCAAGCAATCAGGTATTTGAAAAAGGATTGAAACCTTGCTGATCCAGTAAATAAATCCAGTAACACAGAATGGATCCACAGGAGAGGAATAAAAGATCAGAAGCAAACACAAAGAATAAACTTTAGCCTTTTTTTTTTGTTTCCAAAAGTCATATTTAGAAACAGAAATGTTAAGGACAAATGCTGCTTCAGAACGAGAGTTCTTTAGCCCTGGGTCCTGCACACACTTGTTCAATGTGTTTAACTGGACACGTGCGAATAGTGCCACTGACTTTAACAGAACGACTCACGTGTGTAAAGTTTAAAGTGTTGGTAAGTGTCTGACGGATCGGGGCTTTAGACGGAGAATGCCACTGATTTTTGGATGTTGTTAACAGAGAGCAGCTTTTGCAGAAATTCTTGGTCATTACTAAGGACTCCGTTCATAAAAGCCCTGTACTTCTCTCGCCTGGTCTCCCGGCCGAATACCCTTATAAAAGATGGGGAAATAACATTTTCTAGAAAGCGTGTGTGCACACACACCCGAAAACACACACACTCGTTTGCAATCCATTATTCCCCTTTCCCTTTAGCGCAAGTGGTGAGGACCATTGTTTACAGCCAAGCAATGCTTAAATTCCTCCTAATTTGCAGACTTGCACATCCTTCGAGAATTTCCAATGTGTGAAAGGCATCACAACTATATTGTAATAACGATTGAAATGTCATCACAATGTGTGTAGGGGCAGAGTGGTGACAGCAAAAATGTGCCAGTTTGTTGCCCTGCACGTGTGGGACTTGATTTTGGTGAGACAGACAAATGCCAGCATCTCAGCATACCTCTCTGAGTAAGGATCTGTTAACATATGTTCAGTCACACGCAGCCCCAGGGAAACAGGTGCAAATCTTGTTAAGTCAGTAGAATTGCAGCTGCTTGAATGAATGAATTTGGCCCATGCACTCTTATTTCTGACCTTTGCGTGGAACTCCTATCCCCACCCACCCTCACGGACAACATGACATTGCCATCCTGCTGGCTATTTCACAGTTGAACATAATAGTAATACACTTCTTGATTCCCATGAGAAAAAAAAGCAAGGGAAAAGTCAAGACATCCATCACAGTTATTTCCCCATGGGTTAAGCCCTGTGTAAGTGTTTCAGGTATGGGAGAATGCTTATACAAATGCATGGGTTTCAAAAACATTCATCAACATTCAACCCTGTTCCCATATGTCATCTGACTTTAAAAAAAAATGGCACAAATGTAAGGAACCAGCCCAAGAAGAGCGGGGCAGTGTCTCATTAAAACAGTCCACTTCCACTCTGCTTCTGCCTCCCCCAAACCACACTGAAATGAAGAGTAACTTATTACTAAATGGACTGAACAAATTCAACTCTCTAAATACCTCTGTTAATCTGCAAGCCATTTTGTTCTTGCCAGGACCTGAATTATATCCCCCCCAGGAACTCAAATCTTTCAGATGTGAGCTGATCAGTCTTTCCGTGCCAAGAGCTGGAATTTCCCGGTGCAGCGGCCATTGCCAGCAATGGGTGCACTGAAGCGTCCGGCACCAGCGCAGATTGGCAAATTAACTTCGCTTGGAAGGCTCTCAGCCCCAGCCTACGCAGTGCGGACAGCAATACTTGAAATGTGCTTGAAGGATTCCTGTTTTTGAAGAGATTGGAAAGCCAATCTGAACTCTTAGCAGATTAGACTGGCTGACCCCTGAGTGCTGAGCTGCCTAATGCTAGCTATTGATGGGCGCTCCACAGCACTAGCACTGAAGGGTTATTCTGAGTCATCTTGACATTTTTTTATTCGAATCAGTTCCTTGGTGCTGGACATGGGATTTTCTGATAGAAAACACGAACGTTTTATGCATCGCTTTGTGGTATCAGCAGCTATTTTGGACCGCTAGTATCAAGAGGTTAAATAAATTCAGATAAATTCAAGGTAATGACATAGTTGTTACTGTTGAAATTTTTCAAATGCTTAGAAAACTGGATGAACCAGGTCTGTCAGCATGAAGAAATCTTTCCATCATTAAAAATAAAGGGCCAGCTGCTCTGCCTGTGTAACGTAGCATAGCTGCATTCAGATCAGTGAAGCTACACTGATTTACACCAACTGAAGTTCACTTAAATGTCCTTTCGTATGAAAATGCACAGAATCACTAGTTTATCTCTAACCCGCCAGAAACCCAAATTAATAATTCAACCAAAGAAGTGGGTTTGCCTGTCAGATGCTTACATCTGAGTGAGGGTGTATTGAAAACAGGAAGAAAACCCATGGTTTTACATGTAAGTGAAAAATATGCTGTAATATTTTGACAGCAAGTCCTGAAACATTACAGTGCCCTTTTTGTTTGGTTGGAATTTAAAACTAATGAAAATAAATCTCTATATAAGGGATAATGCCTTTAAATCTACACCAAACATCCAAACTGTCAAATTAACACATCCAATTTTAGAGCAAACCATACCTATTTAGCAAAGCTGTTATGGACGTGCTTAGCTTTAAGCAGTTGCTTAAGGGTTTTGCTAGATAGGGATGGACTTAAGTACTTTGCTCAACTGGGATCAAAATACACAAGATTAGGGAACCAATGAGGGATTACACCTAAGTGCTCAAGATAACAACACTGTTTAAATAACGTAATTTGGGGAAAATGTTTGATTTATGTGGGAGGGAGAATGGAATCAAGAGGTTTGTACTAAATAATTAGTTTGGCAAAAAATAAAAGCGGAAGAATGTACTTTTATAGGTAGTTATTTTTATTAGTTTGCTTCACCAGTAAATATGGATCAGTACTTTATGTTTTAGCACTAAAATATGAAAATTACACACCTGTAAAAATGGCATCTAACAGTTATGAAATTAAGAAACGCCTGTCTTCGCCATGTGACATACCATTAGGTGTGAGGTCCTGTTCAAGAAATAGTAAGGAAATTAATGTGTTTAAAAGATTGAATAGCTTAGTAATGTAAAATATTGCTACCTTCATGTGTCTCAAAACAGACCTATTTTAGATTGTAGCAGAGTTTTCATTGAATTCGCTATGATGAAAATAAAAAATAACACACTTTCCCATATGGTGGTTTTAAAATCTAAAACTGACATTTTTATTCTGAATAATTGGGGAAGCTTTGAAGCTGTAATGTCAAAATCCGTGACTGTGTCCCAGGTATGAGTTGTTCTTTACGTTTTTTGAATGTAATTTTATGTGTTCCATGTGAAGCAATTCTTAGACCTCCAAGTATACAAAAGCAGAATCTGAAACAATACAAAAGCAATTGTTTCAGCTCCATGAGGCTATTCTACCTTCACTGTAGCTAGTAATCACCTGCCACATTGTATCAAGAAAGGATGAATATTGCTTATCCACTGAACTGGAATACAGAAGACCTACAACAATTAAAATTAAAGCAATAAATATTAGGAGTCTGAAGGGGTGCAGTATTTCTTGTAGAAAGAATCTATCTGGTCTAGCATTCAAGATTTAAGATTCAAGGGTCACTGTAGTTAACAAAACTTCACTGCATTTAAACTAAAAAGTAACGTTTGTTGTCATGGAATGTCAGGGCTTGCTTTTGTAGTAGAATATTATAGGCAGTAACACTGATCATATAGTGCAAACTAGAGAAAATGGCGGTGCGCTGTGTGAAAGAAACAGAGGTGCGAATGCTCAGTAGGCTACCATTAAGACATAAAATGGCAAAAAATAAATATAAAAACTTTTATCAGTGTAAAAAAGTAATTGGGTTATTGTATAACCTAGAGTCTGGCAAAAAAGGCCTCAAAAAAGTTCACTCCGTCTTCAGAAGTTCTACAAATGAAGTGCCTTTTCAAGATTCCAATTAGACAAGAGACTCCATGCTTTCTGCAGGATCCGGTTCATCACTGACCATCACAGCGCCATTTTTGTCCAGTGTCATGGGACCATTTCCATTTTCCTTAGTGCTCACCAAGCTTAGCATTGCTTTATAAAGAAACTGGTACTGTTCCTGGAATGAAAAGGACAAATGGTTTCAATCCCCATGCTGTTTAAGAGAATGCATTTCTGCTTTGCATTTTCAGTGTAGCTGGTCATGAAGAGTCATCAGAATGAACCCATTATTTTAACATGAAATGCATGGGGCCAGTAAAACCACCAATATGAGTATAATTGGTAAATGTGGTCAAGAAATTCAGTAACAGATCATGCTCAACTAATGTACTTCATAGGCATGCTGCCATGTTTTCAAATTCTTATAGAATATTTATTTACTTTCATCTTGCTGTCTTCTCTACCCAGTCAATGCTACCATATCAAGCCAGTATTTAAACTATAGAGTTAAAATCCTCCCATATTCAGAGGACATAACAAGCAATTGTTGTTAACACGTGAAAGCATTAAGATGTTACAGAGTAGGAAGCAGTAGGTTTGTCAGTTTTGTCAGTTTAATTCATACAAATTTGGATCCTAAAGATAGCAAAGAAGATTATCTGGTGAGCAACCAAACACAGCACATGTAATACTGCCTTATATTCAGGGTGACTCAGGGTGACTCTTACAGGAACTGATCCAGTGTTGTCTGGAGTCTTCCCACTGATTTCAAAGGCATTGGGTCAGGCCAGAAATGCACTTGTGAAGTACATTATGTAACGTGCAAGAAACTGTACGGCTTATCAGGGTAAACTTAAGAAGCCCTCTGCTAACTTTCTAGTAATCAGGGCTTCCTTCCAGTTACACCATTTTCTTTTTTCCTCCTTCATTTCATTGTTATGTGTACCTTTAACAACACTGTAAAATTTATGCGCAATGACTATGTAAAATGACAGTCAGAATGGCGGTGATTTCATGATCTTTGTGTATATTGGCTCTGAGAATATAAACAGACACTAACTACAGATGTCGGGCTAGATTCTCAGATGGCACCTTGGGGGCAGGAGTGGGTGAAGAAGACAGTTATGGCTCCCTGATTCTGGGTCTTAGTCTGGGGGTTACTCTGAACTACATCAACTGGCTATGGTTAGATAGGGTGACTAGACAGCAACTGTGAAAAAATGGGACAGGTGGTGGGGGGTAATAGGAGCCTATATAAGAAAAAGTCCCAAAAAAGGGACTGTCCCTATAAAAATGGGACATCTGGTCACCCTATGGTTAGGGACGACCAGACAAAGACAGCTGAAGTGCAGTGCGTTATGTCCCAGTCTCCCCTCTGTCCCCTATGCTGGGACTGTTTCTATACCCATGGGGGACTCTGACATGTTTTCAGTGCAGAGGGAGTGGAGTGACTCCCAGAATCAGGCCCATTATTTCACTAGGGCTCCCTCTCTTTGGTTCTGCTGAAGCTGTAGTAGCACTGGGTTGGGATTATTTTCTGAATGTGCTTAATGTACTGAGAGCCTGTGTGGGAGCCTCGGAGATGCATGAAAACACAAACAGGCCCATTAAGCAACTTCCATTGCTTGGCAGTAGAGGCAACAAGGCTTGGTAATGGACACCACGTTGTGTGCGTGTTTTAATTCAAGTTTTACTTGTCAGCACAAGCCTTATAAGGATCAGTTTTATCCTCCACTGAAAGACTTACAATGTCTGTAAATACTCCAGGCCGCATAAGATTGATCATCTTTGCCACTTGGAAAACATCGACAGCATTTTCATTCTCCAGTTGTTGGGACAGGGTGGTCAGGGCACACAGCGTTCCGGCTGACACAGCTCCATACCTGCAAACCACAACACTGTCACGGTCAGATGTACAGAGGTGAACCTGGGAGCCTTGGCAAATTGCCACGGAGCTTTGATTCAGGCTTATTCAAGTGCTATAGACACCGTTTTCTTTATTTTTTATAAATACTGAATGCTCTACTCTATATGGGCGAAGAAGTCATTTTTAGCCATTTTAATGGAAAAGCAGCACTAACCATATCCGGGCTATTTTGAGCTAACTGTGGTTTCCAATTTAAAGAACCATATCAACAAAATAATGTGAACCATTTAAAAATACCCTGCTTGGACTGCACAAAAGCAGAGTTAAATTTCACATGCTGTTTGCGTAGAAGTGTTTCCATTATGTTGGAGTGTATTTTACAGTCCGTTTATGGGAACTCAAGCAAATCACAAGCCATTACAACCAAAACGAACGTAGTTCTTCCTCTCCCTCTGACAATTAGGTAAGACCGTCGAAGGCTATGTCTGCACTACGCACCTTTCAGCAACACAGCTGTGTGGCTACAGCCATGCTGCTAAAAGGTGCGCAGCGTAGCCACTGTTTGTTGACAGGAGAGAGCCTCCCCACCAACAAAAAACTCCCCCCCCAAAGAGCGGCAGTAGCTCTGACAGCAAGAGAGCTCTCCCGCCGACAAAGCGCTGTTCACATCGGCGCTTTTCATTGGCAAAACTTTTGTCAATCGGGGGTTGGGGGGGGTGTTTCACACCCCTAAAGGACAAAAGTTTTGCCAATGAAAGTCCAGTGTAAACAAAGCCTAAGATGGATACTAAGTGCCCAAGAGTCAATGACAAACATCTCATTAACACCCTTCAATTGAGCTAGGGCTCGTTTGTAGGCAAAAGGCTGCACTTCTGGGTGTGGCTCAAATATAAAGGCGTTCAAGAAATGCTACTGATACCGATTCACTGGAGGCACCCAATCAGAATTTTAGCAATGGCTTGTGACCTGCGGGCAATGCAGAATCTGTTTGTGAGATACCAGAGTCAGGTCAAATGTCTGTGCCAGGATTGCTGGTATGGAGCAAGCTCCAGCCATGTCCATGCCCATAGCAACAAACCCATGGCAAAGAAACGCAAAGACTATGTTAAAAGAATGTTAAGAACTCAAGCCAACCTTGACTCTGCTTCCCCTTCTGTGTTTGTATTGTGATACAGTCTTTAACAACAGGATTACATGCTATTATTTCCACAGGATCGCTGCCTCATTGTAATATGACTAAACACAACACTGCCTCGGTGATTTCCAAAGATAACTGCAAACGGAATTTAGTCAAAAGTGAGACACCTCGCCTCAGGGCTTGTCTACACTACTGCTCGTGGTCAAACTAAGATACGCAACTTCAACTACCTGAATAGCGTAGCTGAAGTCGACGTACTTAGATCTACTTACTGCGGTGTCTTCACTGCGGTAAGTCAACAGCTGACGCTCTCCCATCGACTCCGCGTGCACTTCTCATTCTGGTGGGGTACCAGAATCAACGGGAGAGCGCTCAATGGTTGATTTATCGTGTCTAGTCTAGATGCGATAAATCGACCCCCGCTGGATCGATCGCTGCCTGCCGATCCGGTGGGTAGTGTAGACAAGCCCTCAGTCAGCATGGGCTTTGCCTTATTCACCTCTGAACTGCACACCAAACGAGGCATGGCTCGTTGTCCTTATGGGATAAGGACAACATAGGTGCCTAAAGGGAGACACCTAAATGCCTATTTAAGGCACTAATGGGCTGATTTTTAGAGAGGCTGATTACCTACAGCGCTCAGTGTCCTGAATGGGAGCTGCTGTGTGCTCAACATCTCGGACAATCAGACCACAAAATCCTTAATTTGGTGCATAAATATAGGCAGCCAAAATTTGAAAATTTGGGTGTAAATTGTTAGTGTTTAACATGAGGTTTGTAGGTGGAGTTCCAGAACTTTTTAGAAATGTTTCTTCATCAAGTTGTCTACCAAGTACTTCCTAAATCCCACTTAAATTTAGTATTTGCAAATCCATACAATTGGGATTAATCTGCAGTTGTAATTATTAGTGGATTATTGGATGCGGCTGTTGCACATACTAAAGGGAGATTTTCATTTTCAGCTACATTTGCTCAGCCTCCAAATCAAAGGTGCAATACACATTATATGCTAGGCATAAAAATAAAAATCACTGACTACGACAAATAAACCAAAAAAGCAATTTACAGAAAAAAGTAACTCAGCGCTTTTAGAATCACAGTTTTGAGGATTTGTTTTGGGTTTTTTTTCTGGGAGGGTGCGAGGGGGGAGCCTAGCATGAAATACCCAAATCAATAATGGTTCTAATTTTGTAAAGCATAATCTTGAATAATGCAAGAGCAGCAAAACGGCACTACAGACTAGCCCAAGCATTAATATTAAAACTAGCCTCAAATTAATAAAAGCTGCCAAAACCCAACAGAGCTTACACTATGCATTAGTGAGGCAGAAAGGGAGAAAAACCACTTGCCCAGGCCCAAGTCACTCTTTGTAGGAGTTTGTCATGAGAAACTGTCGCAGTAGCAATACAGGGGACGTTAACGGAAAGGTTACTTTGCAGCAGCAGAATATTAACAGGTGATTTTACATCTCAGTCGTCAGCCTGACACTGAAATATCAGTGTATGGTAATGCTTTTGCAAAATAAGTAAGACCTCAAAGATTTCCCCATTAGCTCCAATGTATCTTGCTGCAACAGTGACTAAAGATCGTGGATGGTCTAATGGCTCTCACAACAGTTCTTCAAAGTGGTTCCCAGACTAAGAGTTTACCCTGCATGGGCTTCCTTGGGACTTAAGTGGTGCATAGTTCTTGTGCTGGTCCCCTGCACGGTGGTGAATTTCTCCCTCTGAAAAAGAGCTGTTGTGGGGCTGTCAGGCACTAGGCTCTGCTTTACAACCAGCATCATCTATAATCAGCTGTTGAATTGTTACTGGGCACACAAACGTGTGGTTGCTTTGCAGAACTATTTGTTAGAAAGCAGCGACACCTCTTGCGGGGGTGGGTGTTTCCTTCTCATCCAGCTGATGTCAAGCTGGCTCCACAGAATGGTTGTAGGAACTGGGGAAAATAAACCCTCCATAAACAAACCTCAGCTTCTGTGGCACAAATGATCCTTGCTGAGCATCTTGAGAACAAGCGGAGCTGGACTTGTTCAATCCTACTTACATACTGTCGAAGTAAAGCCCTATGTCATAGGTGGCATTAGACCTAAATTATTACAGGAGTCCTGGGAGTGGTTTTGAAACTGGTTTCATAAAAAAAAACAACTCTGGAGTCTGGTCTAAACTATGGCTCTCATGGGGTTTAAAGCCATTAGAATTTGGGGGCGGGGGGAGTTTCAGGGCGAGTTTCCCCAGTGCAGAGCAGTCCAACGTGCATGCAGAGCAGACCTCAGATTTTAGGGTCTGGCCTGAAAGCCCCAAACATAATAAACTGCGTTAAACTCAATTTATTTGCCTTTGAAGCATGATTGGCTGCAATTCAGGGAGCCTAAGTACTTTGATCCTGGTGCTTAGGCCATGAAAACCCATCCTCTCCAGAGAAGTGAGGACATTTTCCTCCATCTACACCCTTATCCAGCATAATATTTCTTTTACAACCTGTATATAAATGAGAGAAGGCAGGTGACATACTCATCATGAACAATGGTGGGGCCATCCCTTGTTAAGGCCTCTTCCTTGATTACATTGATAAGTTCAAAGGTACTGCTTATAGGGGCATCTGGGTTTGGCCATTTGGGACACTGAAAGTGGCGTACTTCCAGAACGTAGTCATCCTGAAACGAAAAACCATCCTGTCATTAGCCATTTTAACTCCACATTCATACACTTAGGGATGCTGAGGCTTGATAGCGGGACATTCCTCCCCATTCTGCCCGTCAATGAAAGAAACGAGAGGGGGCAGAAATGGAAACAGTATTCTCATCTCCCGGCAGGTCACTACGTAATACGTGGATGTGTGCATCATCCACACCTATGTGCAACTCTACTGTCGATGCGCCCCAGACCGCTGCGTATTCAGCTGTGCAGCAAGCTGACCAATCCTGGGACAGATAGGCTGGCACACAGGTGGGGGCAACAGAGGTGACACACAGCACTTTCTCCCAATCCTCTCTCTTGGTAGCTGACTAGGGACCCTACGCTTCCCTCCCTCCCCGAGGGCGGCATTAACCATGGTGGTGCTGCTCCTCCTACACAAGAAGAAAGCACAGCCAGGAACAAATCCCAGAATTGTTTCAAAGTCACCGGATCCTCTCTCTCTTTGAAGGGGTCCGTGGTGGGGAGAGGAAGTTGAGTCCTCCTCTCTGTAGAGGCAAGTTAGATGGATGGTTCTCAACCTTTTTTCATTTGCAGGCCCCTGGAGGTGTGGACCCCTTTGAAAAGCACCGACATAGTCTGCGGACACCCAGGGGTCTGTGGATTACAGGTTCCAAGCCACTGTTCTATGGTAATGACAACCTTTCGCAAACCCTTTAGACATAGTCTGCAGACCCCCCAGGAGTGTGCAGATCACCGGCTGAGAACCATTGAGATAGATCACAGAGCTCTTGGTCCTGAAGCTCTCCGAGAGAACCAGGGTGTGTTGGTGTGTAGCATTTCTGGGTAGTATTCCATAAATCTCTTTATGTCCGTGGTACAGCAAGTGCCTGTGTGATCCTTGCCCCTGCCTGCGTGATAACACAATGCTCCCCTCTCCCTAACTGCTATGGGGGGAACCTCCTGCCTGCTGGACAGCGCTCCACTCCCTATCCCCTCTCCATTTCAGAGCCATCACTCAACAGCCTGCAGGCTGTGTAGCCCCTGTGAGATTCCACTAGTTGCCATTCAGCAACACAAAACCCTCCCTGGCACTGTGATGCAGAGGCAGGCAATGTACATGCACAGTGACCCCTTCTAGTCACCCCCTGTGGAGAGGGGAAGACATTATCCAGCCATGCAATGGCTCTGTAGTTGCCCACGCAGGAGTCAGTGAGATCTGGGTGAATGCAGAGCACAGCCAAGCTGTGCAGCTCTGGCATCTCAGAGGCACCAGGGAGCAGGTTTGGGCCCATACTAAATAATTTTGAATATAATGAAATATTTAATTGTTTAAATATTTTCCATTTCAATTCAGGGCCCACCTCCACATAGGTCTTTCTTAGTCCACTGGCCTCTTCAGCATCTCTAATATTCAAAGGGCAGCTGGTCAAACAAGAGAAGAGCGACCAAAGGTATCCATACTAAAAAGGCTACCAAAGGCTTGTAACAATATCTTCTTCCCTGCAGCTAAATACACCTGCCATTGTGATATCAGTTAAAGAGTAGGTGTTGTCGCTCAATATAAATGTGGTTCAGCAAATGCAGAGCCACCATCATCGCTTCAAAACAATTCATTTATAAAATCTGAATTTATAAAAGGGGAAATGGGACACTGCATCTCAGTGTCTTTTAAAAAATAAGTCAATCAACTACCGTGACTGCTGCATGAAAAACCTCCTGACTTTGGAATCAGATAAGCAGAGATGAAATGCTCTAGCCTAACCATCTAGAGAACTGGAATGCTGATAAGCAATCTTCTTGGAAGTGAAAGACTTGGAAAACTAACGTTTGGGGAGTGAGAAGGAAAAGGAACCGAGAGCAATATCCTTCCCCCTGCACCGGGCACACAGGCAATATATTTACAAGTAAATCCTCCTGAAAATCATTTGCAAACTCTGTCTTATTGCAAAGTTTAACTGAAGGCACTAACGTGTTAGGTGAAAGGCAGAGCCCAAATGCACCTATTGTGGGGGTTCACTTTACCTGGGTCGCTTCAAGGATAAAGTCATGGATGATAATTTGCTCTTCATTAGAGAGGCACAGTCTGTCTTTGCTGATTAGGGTCACGGTAAAGGCCTCACAGTTCATGGATTCTTCGCGACTTGGCCAGTATACAAACTCGTCTTCTGCCTGGGGGAATAAAACAAGCAGATCACCGCAGTCCTCCAAATAGCTTATTTTACACATGACTGAAAAATCCAGTGGATCCAAAAACTGATTTGATAGATAGATATGACCAGAAAGTGATCCTTAAAACTGTTTGTGTCTAAAAGAGATTTATTATAGTAGTCAGCAAGCCTCCAAGTAATCCTTCCTGTGCCTCCCAAATAGTGCAAGTCTGCTTTTTAATTGGTTTCAGAGGGAAATGGTTATTTTAGTTAACTTACACTTAACCTTTATGTAGACACAAGCTTTCCCAGACTACACCACCTGCTGTCTACCCAGTACATTACTCCCTTTCTTTTGCAGTCAGGTCAGGTACCTGTTTAGAAACACGCAGTGAACTTTAGAAATTGTTTGCTATTGTCTTTAATTCCTATCTATCTTGGTCTCATCCAAACCTGATACTGTCAGGGGAGAGATTCTGACTAACTTTATTGCGCTTTGGATCAGAACACTGTAAGTTGTCATATCTAGGTGTTGAAATTTCATGAACTGAGAAAAAGAAACCCAAACATTCCTAACCCTGAGGAAAACAGCAGGTCAGCTTAATTCTCTGTAAACTTTAGGCTACAGCAAAAACCGTCTACTGAAGAAGCAAGGGTAAATTCTGAATAAAAAGAGCACAGTGATGGGGAAAAAAGGATTAAGAGTTTCAGTACTTTTAATAATAACCAGCTGTAGATTATACTATCAAGAAAATGGTTTTTGAAAAACAACTGTGCACCCTAAGTCACTGATCCAAAGGATGGAAGGAATAGTAGACCCAAGGGCCGTGCCTGTTCTTGGATTCAGGGACGTATGGCACACACCATCATAAGCACAGAAGCTAATTTAACATACTACATGGCATTGCTTGCCTGTGTCTCCGAGGACAAGATCAGGCAAATTGTTTTTCCTTCTGAAAAAAACATGAACCATTATCCTCTGCAGCTATGAATCGATTTTCTCCCTCTGAGGCCCAGGGCAAGACTTCCAATGATACTTAGGCTCCCAAGTGCTTATGTCTGTTTTGAAAACAGGACTTAGGCTCCCGTCACTCAGGTGCTTCTCGAAAGGTTGCCTTCAGTCTACAGAACGATATTCAAACAGTCCCTAATATCATTGATTGTTCCGTAGTAATTTCACCCTTCTTCCTCAGACTAAACTCACTCAGACACAGTAGTCAGTCTGCATTGTCATCTTTCTTTCAGCTCTGTATGTTCAGCTTCACCCACATTGACATTAAACATGTCACAAAGTTTGTGCCAAATTCCGGCGCCTGTTTCCAGGGCAACCCCCACCACCCTCAACACAACAGAGGCAGAATCTGGCACTATGTGTCCTTCCAAGATGATTTGCCTTCCAAGGTATTTTCCTATCAAGCCAAGTGTCACCTCTCCCAGTTATATCATAATCAGAACTGTTCAGCAGCATTGCTTCATTTTCACCAGACACTCTCTCTTTTCATCAATTCTTTTTGACTTGATAGTGCTTATCTGAACGCTCTTTCCCTGGGAATTCCTGCTGATCCCTTTAATCTCACCGCACTAAGGAAGAATATAAACATAGCAGCCCTCACAACCACTCTTTTCTTGTAACGAAGACCATTATTTCCCTATCATTCTCAGCCACACTTTAGTCAGGCACATATGAAAAAAATCAACTGTTCAGACCTTAATGCCTTTCAGCACTCCTTCTTCTTCAGCATATGCCGGTTAACCTGAAAGCTATCATTAACCCTTCACCTGTCTCACCTCCAACACTTCAATTCTCCCTCTCTTTTATTTCCATTTATATCCCCATATACAACCACAACTGCTTTCCCCTTCAATCAGAAATAATGTATTTATCCTCTCTTTGACCTCCTTAACCTTAGGTCCCCCCGAGCAAACTAATAACTACACTCTTGTCTCTGTTACCACTTGCTGTCCTTAACCTTAGCCCCCGGCAAATGAATAACTTCATTGTTCCCATCCTTTCCATCACATGGGCCACAAACACATAGCACAGAGTCTTAAACTATCATTTTTGCTCTGCTCTGAGGAAGCTGTATGATTTCCTTCAGTGCATTAGGAATTCAGTCCAGGCAGGATACACTAGTTGAGGTTACCTTTCACCTACAGGAGGATACTATGATTTGAAAGAGAGCAACGACATGATTGACAGTAACAAGCTTGCTGCATGAACCCAGATTTAAGTATATGGCTCAAAATTAGCTATATTTTCAATGGAAACATAACCAGCCTGCATGAGTGACCCAATTCCTGCACCCTGCTATGCTCAATAATTGAAGTATAGTACATACATAGTTAAGTGTTTAACTTACCAAGCTCTGGTTGTCTGGCAGCATGACAATGATCTGTGCATTGTGATCCCAGATCATTCGCCAGAAGTCTTTAGTTGTATGTGGAAGAGGATGCTGGGTTATGATGAACTCATTGCTCCTGTAGTAACCCTTATAAAGCAAAGACAAAACCACACCGTCCCTTATTGCACTGAGTACTTTTAAAGCCTGACATTTTATTTATAGGAACAGATAATGTTTTGACTACAGCTGAAAACATTCTGAACAACTTTAATTTTTTCCTGTGCTATTATTAATATTTCTACACAAACCATTTTCACTCTGAGTACATTTCCACTTCTCAGAGTCCCTGCTGTTTTCATTTACTCTTAATGCCAATATTTATTTGAGTGCATGTAATGGAAAAATTCATTCCATAAAAATGCTTTGCATAATTGAAATATTTTAGACAATGATATTTTATTAAAGATAGTTAAAAGTTTTACATTATGAAATGTGTTAAAACTTCATCTTTTATACTCAATCATTATATGCAAAATTAAGACAATTGTAGGAATCTGGTACTTAGCACCTTTCAGTTGATTTTGCTCTATATTTAAGTGCTGACTTTCTCACCATGATATAAGAGGCATTAATGTAATCAGTTCCCTTCATTCCAGGCAGTGGCGCGAGACCCACCCTAGCACGTTCAGCTATAAGATGAAAAAAATGATCACAGTCTGGTCATGGCATGGTGCAGAAAGCATGAATTTCTGAGATGACTTTAACAAATCAGATCTAACAGAAATCCCATCTCCCCCAGCAGCAGGCCCGCACTTTAACTGTGATAAAGCATTGCCAGCCAAAGCAGAATATAAAATGAAAAGTTGTACAATATTCCTAAAAGGACGAAGTAATTTCAGGAATCAGATTTTACTATAGCAAAGATTTTCACAGCAGGCTGAATGATCAAATAACAGCCTATACAGTGATGGCAGGGGATTTCAGATAATTCTTGACTACAGTGTTCTATTTGCCTCCAGTTGCACACAAAACCATCTGATTTATTTTGCTTCTCCGGTCTTTTTCCAGCATTGCTTTATGACCATTTCGCTGACCTTGGGGCAAGCAGGCAGCTGTCTCCACAGCTGAGGCAATCCCTGTTGATTAGTCACCCAAGGACATACATAACTCCCTCAACACATTCTGTTTCCTCCGAAGAAATGTAGTTTATATTCCAAGTCCCCCAGTTTTTTTGGGGAGTGCTTGATACTGTGCTACTTACTGAGCCATCCAAATGTGGTAATTTACGCAGAGTAGCAACACTACCAAACAATCAACTTCAATCGCATTGCGAGATATTATCCGAGTACAGAGATGCAAACATGACTGCATTACTGTGATTTCCTAGATAAAAATTCTGCCCCACCCCACCCCATATAATTACTCAAAAACTTGAACTCTTCAGATTAACATTTTGCTTGGACAATGCATTATGCTGACACCATCACCAGGTCCTTTTGCTCAGTTTCACCATAGTAATTTCTAAAGACAAGATATCTTTGGCTGAACAAAACACAACCATTCTCCTTCCTGGCAGCTACTCCTTTTCATGCATAACCAACAGAATTCAACACAAAAAGTTACGCTAAGCAGTAATCAAACCAAAGAGTTGATCTTACATGGCACAACTGATGAGTTTCTGTTCTTCTCTTTGTTGCAGTCTTTCTGAGCACTGAAGCATTCCACATATTTAGCATTACACTGAGTAACCAGCTGAAAGAAAATAAGTAGAAACTGGTTTGACGAAGTTCTCATAGCCCTCAAAATGAAGAGGAAAGTTTTTCCTTGGCAGCTCCTAGAAAAATACACCACTGGAAGAACAAGCTGTATGGTCAGATTTGCTTAAAGTACTCAAAATGCCAATAGGAATCATCTTCTTCATAAAATATATGAATGCTTATTGGATACTAAGGTCTCCACAGATCTCAGCTTTGGCACATATCAACATGAAATTCCATTCCAAGTTGATTTTTACAGAACAGTCTAGATTTAGTTACTTTTGACAATTTATTCTGAAGCCCTGCAGGGATGTTTAGCCCAGTAGCAGGTCTCAGGGAAAAAAAAAACAACAAAAGCAAGCCTCTGTCTCTCTCTCCCTTTTTAAATTGAAACAAGCTCATGCCTAAGGAAGTTTATTTACTGCTGTGGCCTATTGTGAGCCCAAAATGCTTCCAGCTGAAACCAGCCATCTTGGGGCACCTTCTGCAGTCTGCCAGGTTCTCTTTGTGCCGCTTCTGTGGCACAGAATGAAGCTGAGGTGGCAGGAGATTTGTCCTGGAGTATCCCCCTGTGTGGGGAAAATCACCGCTAGTGCAAATCTGGTGAAGGTGGCTCTGGACTTTCTGGACCAGAACTCCACTGCTCAGTATAAGGGGAGGTAGGGAATGTGAAGCAGGCGGTCAGGGGGAGGACAGAGGGAGTGGCAGATCGAGGCTCCTTTATGCCTAATTCTCCACAGGGAGAAGTCAAAGCAGCTTTAATTTGTGCTGGGACCAGGTGGTGAAGAATCAGGGAATGGTGACTGGTATTTTGTCAGTGCCAACTCTCCGCTGGGCCGGAGCTCTGCTCCAGCCCAGTGGACAATCAAGCTCCTCATATCTGCTTCTGCAGGATGAAATACCTCGGAGGCATTTGAAGTTTGATGTACCTTATGGAAAAGGAAAGACAAAAGGGAAAGAAAATTGTGCAGATACACTGCACTTCTTTTGTACCATTATCCTCCTCTGAGAGCAGCGCTTCTGATGTTACACAGTTATTATATCAAGAGTAATTACAATGGGTTGATGCTGTTGGAAGCAAAAGTATGTTGTCAATATTGGAGCTGGTCCTAAACCTTGTTTTTCCCCGCCACAAAAATAATTTCAAATGAAAAATTTTCATTTTAAATTTTTTGTGGGAAAATTTCTAAACAAAATTAAATGAATATTTCACTTACATTTTGATTAAAAATTATGTTTTGATTTGGTTTTTGAAAAAACAATTTTTAAAAAAAAATTCAATTTTTTATTTTCTCCCTTTTCTCCTTTTTTATTTATTTTGCCAGCTAATGCAATAGAATGAATGATGTTGAAGGGTATTGTTTTGTTTTTTCTTTCAATTTTTTTCCTCTATTTTTCCTTTTCCCACTCTAACTTTTCAAAACTTCCTCAACTTTGGAAGTTTCAGAGTGCCAGAGTTTCTTTTTACTCTTCTGTAATTTTTCCCAGAGATGGCGAAGATTTGAAATTTTGCAGAGTGGGGAAAAAGGTAAAAAGTGCATGGGAAAAGTGGAATAAAACCTGTACATTATTAATTTTATTGCTTTGAGTGGCAAAAAAGGAAAGAAGAAGGGGAACATTAAAATTTCAAATTCTCAAAAACTGAAATGAAAAGTTTTGAAATTTCTCACTAAAAAAAATTCAAAATTTAGCTGACAACATTTTCATGTGATTTTATATTCAACAAAACCCCATTTTTTAGCTGGAAAAGATTCTGGTTGAAAATTTTTGACCAGCTCTATTCATTAAAATATCAACAAGAGAATAGCAGTTTAGCAATCTCATTAAAGAGATCCCTCGATCAGATACACAATGGGCATTAAATTAAATGGGGCGGCACTGGTATATTCTGCCTAACGATCGATTTGGCTCTCTACATGTATGTAGAGGCAGAGGCAGATTACGCTATTGTGGGGCCCTGGGCCAGAGCAAGTGGGGGCCCCGCTTCACCCCTTTTGCCTGCAGGCCCCCTCCCGTTCCTGCTGCGGATCGGGGTCTGGGCGTGGGGGTAGCAGGGCAAGCCCTGGTGCCGTGACCCCGCTCTCCAGCAGGAGCGCCGGACAGGCAGAGTGGGTCGGGGCAGTGCCCATTTTTCCAGGGGTCCCCAATTGGCTGGGGCTCCTGAGCACAGACCCTGTTGGCCCAGTGGCTAATCCTCCACTGTGTGGAGGTTCTAGCCACGTGATAAACGGTTATACCTTGGGACAAACTGCAGAACCTTGTGATAAAATAGCATTTAGCATCCTTGATTACCAGACCTGCACTATCCCATCCCCATCAGGGCTATTACAAACCTCTGAACATCTTGAAACAGCCACCATTTAAAAAAGAAAAAAAAACCCTATAAGACAAAGCTTTCCCCCTTCGCTCAGAACTCTCACTCCAGAACCAAGTGCTGTGTCCCCCATTTGCCAATTAACCCTTCTCTACTGATATTCCAAACCTCTAAGTAACATCAAAGAGCTGCCAATATTCACCCAGGGCAAAATTTTCAAATATATAAAAGTGACGTAGGCCTGGTTTACACTTATGTTGGTTTCAGAGTAACAGCCGTGTTAGTCTGTATTCGCAAAAAGAACAGGAGGACTTGTGGCACCTTAGCGACTAACCAATTTATTTGAGCATAAGCTTTCGTGAGCTACAGCTCAATTCATTGGATGCATCGGCGAGAAAGGCAGCTGTGTCCACCCTTGTCACTGCACTCTGTAGCTACATGCAGCAGCGAAAGGCTCCAGTGGGGAGAGACAGTGGGGAAAGAAGCTGCTCCCCCTACCAGAGCCTTTTCCTGCTGCCGGAGCCTTTCACTATGGTGAGGACAAGCTCTGGCAGGGAGACATTATACTGCTAAAAATAGAGAGCAGTGCAGGATGTAAATCCTAGGGTTCAGGTGTAGGGCATGCTACTTGCCTAAGCCATACCTCACTGTCTACACTGCTGTTTACACCCGTGCTAGCTGGGCATGCGGTGTCTATGCTCCACCTGCTGTCCTAGTGTAGACATACCTTTAGGAGCTAAAGTCCCAATTTCAAAAGCTCCTAACTTACTGGTACCTAACTTACTGAAGTGTTTTGGTAAATCGCAGTAGGTGCCTATGTGCTTTTTTTAGGTGCTTACATCCCTTTATACATCTGGCCCTTAGGAGTCTCATTGGGACATAGGCTTCTAAGCATCTAAGTCACTTTTTAAAATGGGAATTAGGTGGCTAAGACACTTAGGGTATGTCTACACTAAAAAATAAACCACCTGCAGCTGGCCCCGGTCAGCTGACTCAGGCTTGCGGGGCTATAAAATTGCAGTGTAGACATTTGGACTCATGCTGTAGTCTGGGATCTGAGACAGTACAAGCAGGGAGGGTCCCAGAACCCAGGCTCCAGCCCAAGCCCGAATGTCCACACAATAATTTATAGCCCCGAAACCCAAGCCCCATGACCTTGAGTCAGCTGACCTGGGCCAGCTGCGGTTGTTGTACTGCATTGTAGACATACCCTTCAGTATTTCTGAATTTGTTGCCACCACTCTCTAAAAAACATTTTTATAGTTATTATTTACTACTTGGAAAAAATCTCAACATTTTTCTGTGCTGATTTTTTTCTCCTCGTGCAATTTTTTTTATTTGGTTGTTAAGCACCTGAATGCTACAGAAACCCAGAGTCTCACCAGGGAATTCAGGAAATGGGCTATTCACTTTTTGAATCATTTGGCACCTGGTTTAATTTGTTTAACGAGTTCATGTCTTTAGCTGGTATTTGTCTGAGGGAGTTTATCTGTGAAAACAGGGTCTGCACAGATTCACCTAACGACACACAGTAACACAAAGTAGTTTTAAATGTGTATCTAAAATGTAATCAGAAAATCTTAAATGGCTGGAGGCTTTTAATTCTTAAATGTGGGAAAACAGCAAACTTTTTAAATGATGAAAATTATCTGTAATGTATTCCTGGAAAAGCGACAGCTGTAACAGCTGGGTTTTTTTTTAGAGTCTCAAGAAAACTAATTTATCCCGTATGTACAATACTGACATTTTTAATTGTGCTAACAACAACCATTTCCATTTGTTTTAACTGGAGATGGGTCTGAGACACCAAGTTTGGATCCTGATCTAGATCGAAAACTAATCAAATCTAAGGAGTGTTTGGATTCACCATTTTGGTTCAAGCTCCTTACAGAATGAGGGGTCAGCAGCATAGTTCAAATGAGTGCCCAACTCTCTCTTCATACCAGTTTTACCCTAGTATAACTCCATTGACTTCAATAGCATTAGTCCTGATTTACATCACTGTAACTAAGGGTGTTCAATCTGAAACTTGCCCAAAATTCAGGGGTGCTTGGACCCAGCGTTTTGGTTCAGGTTCCTCTAGTTCTGCCGATTAGATATGATAGCAAAGACTCTCCATGTGATAAAAGATCGGGAGCTGTGGGGGTGGGGGTGAAATCACTCCTGATGCCTGATAAACCTTTACCTTGAATTGCTTCTCTAGTCGTGTCTTTCCTCCTATTCCAGGTATAAGAATGGTGTTAACATAACTATGCAGCTGGTTTGCAGATACTTCAGTCTCCTTCCCAAGGATGGCTTCCAGCAAGGCATCATGAATAAAAATGTACTGCTCCTAGAAAGGCCAGAGCAAGCAGTTTAAGAGTTAGGAGACAATTACACGGAGCAGAGTCATAAATGAAGGCGGACAGCACACTGAAGGAAATGGTTACATTTCCTTTTTACAGCAAGCTCACTCTATAAATACTGCTCAGACTGGAGTATACATTCACGAGTATAATCTCAACAACACTTAAGAAGTCAAGGGAGGAATCAAAAGTTTCTGGTCTTGAAAAAAGACATTCCAAGTCACCAAAACGCCAGCTGAAACGTATTCCACATTGAGAGAGAGGTAACTGAAAAACCTATTTCCTTTTTGATCGCATCATAAAAACGAACACTGCTTTGAATTCAGTATCACTCCAGCCTTTACCTCTGTTTGAACGAGGTAGTTGCGCTGTGTCCTGATGTGTTTCAGGAAACCCAGGACGTTAACTGTGCTTTTGTCTTTTATCTGCTGCAGCATGCTGTCTATCACAATGTAGGTCCCCGTTCTGCCCACACCAGCACTGCAAAGGACAGGAAAGAAACCCTGATAATTCCGCTGTATGAAATTAAATGTTAGCAATGGCAAAACAGAGTTCCTACATTTCTGTCCCCAAATTTTATTAGAACACCTTGACCCTCCTGATCATTAAAGCCCTTAAATAACATGTTACATGCATTCTAGGATTTTAATCACATGAAAATGTGTGCTTATTTTAGCTATGTTTCCAAATGTTTGTTTCCTTTTCCCTCTCTAGCTTCCTTCTAAGGACAACTGCAGCGATGCCCCCTGCTGAGTGTAAGTGCTAACACCAGTCATTGCAGGTTAAACTCTATGCAGGAAGTCGGACTAGATGACCATTATGGTCATATGATGGTTATTCTGACCTTAACATCTGGGAGAGCTCCCCCATTGCTAGCACTGGGTGTTCTATTCATAGCAAATAACGTAGCCACAGAATTTACTTGCTTTTCCTGTGTGAAAGTTATCATAGAATCATAGAACATCAGGGTTGGAAGGGACCTCAGGAGGTCATCTAGTCCAACTCCCTGCTGAAAGCAGGACCGATCCCCAACTAAATCATCCCAGCCAGGGCTTTGTCAAGCCTGACCTTAAAAACCTCTAAGGAAGGAGATTCCACCACCTCCCTAGGTAACGCATTCCAGTGTTTCACCACCCTCCTAGTGAAAAAGTTTTTCCTAATATCCAACCTAAATCTCCCCCACTGCAACTTGAGACCATTACTCCTTGTTCTGTCATCTGCCACCACTGAGAACAGTCTAGATCCATCCTCTTTGGAACCCCCTTTCAGGTATTTGAAAGCAGCTATCAAATCCCCCCTGACTCTTCTCTTCCATAGACTAAACATCCCCAGTTCCTTCAGCCTCTCCTCATAAGTCATGTGTTCCAGTCCCCTCATCATTTTTGTTGCCCTCCGCTGGACTCTTTCCAATTTTTCCACATCCTTCTTGTAGTGTGGGGCCCAAAACTGGACACAGTACTCCAGATGAGGCCTCACCAATGTCGAATAGAGGGGAACGATCACGTCTCTCGATCGGCTGGTTGAGACTATTATCTTATCTGCGACCAGACCATTTCCCAAGAACTGTTTGCCATACAATCAATGCTAACATCTTTCAGACCATGGCTGGTTTGCAAACTAATTCCTTAACTAGGTCTTTGATTATTCATTAATCTTTATTCACAGAGCATGACTGGTCAGCCTAGAGAGACACGGCATCGTTACTCCCTGGTTGGATGGCTGGAATTTTCTAAACAAACCTTAGAAATGTCTAGTGCAAACAGCTAGTATGTGGAATTGTGCATGTGCTTTGCCAGCACCTTTGTTTGCATCTGACATTCACCCCTGTGTAGGCACCTTGCAGAAGACTGATGCATCACTGCTTGGATGAAGTGGTTCAAAGGCTTTGCACTGAGATGAGTTTCATTTTGCTTTGAATTGTTGTGTTAATAATCTGTTGTATTTGCTTGTTAATAAGGACCCACCTACATTACCTGTTGCATCCCAGGCGTGCTTTCCATGCCCAGAGTTGCCATACCTGCAGTGTACAAGCACGGGTCCCATTTCCGGGGTCCTGGCGGCTGAAGATCTCCTCACAAAGGTTAGCACAGGCAGAGCGTATTCTGGCACTCCCATGTCAGGCCACTGTGTATAGTGATACTGAATAACCGTTCGCTCGTTCTGTCGCCCTTTGGGGTTTCCTTTCTGACCCTGTATGTAAAACGTACCCAACAAGCAGATAAATATTAGGAAAGGGCAGGCTTGGAACTACTTCAGACTCTATCAACATGTTCAAACAAGCATGTGTCAGCTGAGACTAAAATGGAGACGTGCCCCTGCTCCCCAGGCTCTGCCTCTTGTTTGATGCAGACAGAGTCCCCAGCGAGAAATGCACAGGAGAGCGGGGAAAACGATAGCCATGAGAACTCCCCCGATGGAGAAGAAACACTGCACAGCTCCCCACTGTGGGTACAGGCACTGCAGTGTAAATGCTCTTGCCAGATATCCAGTAACCCAAGTTTCACGTAGTTATTTCTCACCAGCCAGCTACTGAAAGTTGTACACATAGCAGGCAAGACCCCTTGGCTTTGCTGGCATGATGCTTTCACTTAACAAGCCATACAGGAAATTAACATGAACAGAGGGGGCTCACTCACCTTTTTCATTTTTGTGTTCCTGACTGTGAAACGGCGGACGGTGTAGCAGGCATGTACCTTTGTGCTCTTCAATGTGACTATAATGTTGCCGTATTCCTCGCTATTCTCCGTTGGCCAGTACTGATCACATTTTCTCTGAATAAAGGGAGAATTAGATGGGTTGGGGTCATTTTGGTTTTATTAAAAACGTATTTAAAGTTTATTAGAAAGGGTAAAAAATCATGCCTAGTAATTTGTATCTCCGCTCTGGTATTTACACACTATATAGCAAGACGTTATTTGTGTATTTAAAGCTAATGGGTCAAATTCTGCCCATTCATGAATCAGAAGGCAGGATTTAATTCACTATATTAAATAGAAAAGGGTAGCCATTAACAAGCTACATAGTCCCTTACTCTTCCTTTTTCCACGAGGTTTGTAATCATGATAATGATTCCAGAATTTTGTTCCCAAATCATTCTCCAGAAATCTTCAAATGTAGACTTTAAAGGTCCCTGGGTAGCAATATAGGCTTTTGCTTTGTTGTAACCCTTCAAAGAAAACCAAAATGCAAAGTAAGATGAAAGCAGCAGCAAGGCAGATGTATTAATAATTTACAGGTAACAAAGAGAGGTGCCTTTCCTGTTCTGAATATTTGAGGAGTTTGTAGCAGGAGTCCAGGGGAAGTCAGAAAACACAAACACTTCATAAGGAGCAATTGGATAGATATCCCCTTTTATGAATGTATTTACAATGAGAGAGGAGAAAAAATATTCAAACAACTTACATCAACATAATTAGCATTAATGTAGTCACTGTGCTTAGAATCTTTTCCTGGAGAAGGCCTTAGTTTCACCCTACTGTGATCATCTATGAGAAAAAACAGCAGAGAAGCACGAAGGGAAAGTACATTAAAAATAATGCAGGTAAACCATCCTATTTCCTAGCTATTTATGGGTGATATTCACTTTGCCTGCACATAATCTGTGTAAACTGACTTTACGGTGATGGAAAGGGAAGGGTCTGCTCTCATGGATCTGATTGCAGGATCACAACCTTGGACTGTACACAAATGGGGGGTGGTTTTTTTTTTTTTTTAGTATGTGACAGCGTCCCTTTAAGAAGGAGGAGTAGATGCGTTAGGAGTAGGGGGACCTATTGAAGGACCGCCCCCTTACCGTAGTATCTGAAAAAAGAAAAGGAGGACTTGTGGCACCTTAGGGACTAACCAATTTATTTGAGCATAAGCTTTCGTGAGCTACAGCTCACTTCATTGGATGCATACTGTGGAAACTGCAGAAGACATTATATACACAGAGACCATGAAACAATACCTCCTCCCATCCCACTCTCCTGCTGGTAATAGCTTATCTAAAGTGATCACTCTCCTTACAATGTGTATGATAATCAAGTTGGGCCATTTCCAGCACAAATCCAGGTTTTCTCACCCTCCGCCCCCCCCCACACAAACTCACTCTCCTGCTAGTAATAGCCCATCCAAAGTGACCACTCTCTTTACAATGTGTATGATAATCAAGGTGGGCCATTTCCAGCACAAATCCAGGTTTTCTAACCCCCTCCTCCCCCTTTTCCAAAAACCACACACACAAACTCACTCTCCTGCTGGTAATAGCTTATCCAAAGTGACCACTCTCCCTACAATGTGCATGATAATCAAGGTGGGCCATTTCCAGCACAAATCCAGGTTTTCTCACCTCATGGGGGTTGGGGGGATGCTCAAATAAATTGGTTAGTCTCTAAGGTGCCACAAGTACTCCTTTTCTTTTTGCGAATATAGACTAACACGGCTGTTACTCTGAAAATTGTAAAGAGAGTGGTCACTTTGGATGGGCTATTACCAGCAGGAGAGTGAGTTTGTGTGTGTGGGGGCGGAGGGTGAGAAAACCTGGATTTGTGCTGGAAATGGCCCAACTTGATTATCATACACATTGTAAGGAGAGCGATCACTTTAGATAAGCTATTACCAGCAGGAGAGTGGGATGGGAGGAGGTATTGTTTCATGGTCTCTGTGTATATAATGTCTTCTGCAGTTTCCACAGTATGCATCCGATGAAGTGAGCTGTAGCTCACGAAAGCTTATGCTCAAATAAATTGGTTAGTCTCTAAGGTGCCCCAAGTACTCCTTTTCTTTTTGCTAATACAGACTAACACGGCTGTTACTCTGAAACCCGTAGTATCTGAGTGCCTGTAAGGTCTCTCCACTCCCATGGTGTCTTCCAAGACCCACCCTAACCACTGGGCCATCCTCCCTCTCGGAGGATGTAAGTCAGAGGGTTGTATTTTTTATACAATTAAAATCATGCTGGATTTGTCCCATTTGCGTTTGGTGTTCTTGAGTGCAAAGCTCTGCATTGTGCCCTTTACAGGAGCAGGAATTCAGTACTGTTATACAATATGTGTTGACTGCCAATCTCCCATCAGTTCTACATGAGAGATGACAACAGAGAAAGTTATTCCACCTCCCAGCTCAGACTCAGAATAATTTGCAGTCCTGAAACAGACTTCAGCTTTGCAATTCTCCGAAGGATGATGAGAGAGACCTGCAATGTGCTAAGAAGGTCATTGTTTGTCCAAGTCGCTCTCTCTCGTGGAGCAGTTTGAAATGTGACAGACATACCAATCTCAGCTTTAGCATATTTGGGAAGATAAATGAATCCCAAGGATCATCAATAAAACACTTTGATCCACCACACATCTCCCTTAAGTCGTTTTTCAGATTAGCATATAGAGTTCTGCCAGTAATTTGATCTTAATTATTCAGTTGCATTGTCTTATGCAGGACTGCTACTTTTGTAAGCTAAACTTACAATATCTAACACCTAACTGTCAACGTTTTCCCAATAAAAAGTGTGGGTGAAACCCTGGCCCCATTGAAGTCAATCGCAAAACTCATATAGACTTCAACAAGACTAGAATTGTAATTGTCAATTGCTGTCCCTCTCTGATTAAAATTAATTTTAAGCAACCTGGGTTTTCCTCTCATGCACTGACCTTCTTAGAACAGAGGGCCTTGTACAATTTATGTACTGTATTTACTGTAAATGCTTACTCACATGCTAAAATGTTGATGTATCTGTTCTTGTGCTTGTTATCTGGGTGATTGGAATGTTCTGCTGTGATGTTCATGTCGGCTGTACAGCGTTGCACTTCCTAGTGACAAAATTATTCAGACGGAAAATACATAAATACAAAAACATTGTTTGTCTCATTTTACAACAACAGCTCTTTGCAAACATGTTTAAACATCAAATTTTAATTGTTTGATTTATTTTAATCTTTTAATGTAATTCTTGTAATCTTTTAATGTAGTCCAGTAAGACACATTCTGTTCAAATCAGGGATGTTAACTGAGTCCTGGTCTCTGATTACAGAATCAGATCTCCTGAATGGGTAGAATTCACCCCTCAGCAAAGATCAGTGAAAGGCCTATGGACTAGAGCTGGTCGGATTAGGGTTTTCTCTCCCCCACAGAAAACGTTGACAAATTTAGTTTTCAAAAAATATTTTAATTCAAAATGGCACCACTGATAGAAGTCTAGGGTGATCAGATGTCCCAGTTTTATAGGGACAGTCCCGATTTTTGGGTCTTTTTCTTATATAGGCTCCTATTACCCTCCACCCCCGTCCTGATTTTTCACATTTGCTGTCTGGTCACTCTATAGAAGTCATAGTTTACGTGCTTTTCTCCTCTGTCAGCTGAGCTTTCTAGACAGCCTACATCTCCCAGGATGCACCAGTTTCTACTCTCTTGACGAGAAGGGGTGTGTCATAGGAGTCACTGGCCATGGTGCATCATGGGAGATGTAGTCCAAAATATAATTTAATTAGAAAATTTTTGACCAGCCCTACTGTGTACCCATTTATGTTGCCTTCAAAATATGGCTTTAAAGGAATGTAAGTGATGTAGTGGTCATTTGTTAGCTTTTTGCACAGGAATGACTTCAATCTAATTTTTTAAAACTAGATCTGATGTTTATGAAAAGTACATTAAATACAACTGATGGCAATGACTGAAGAGTAAAAACAATTTTTTTGAAAGAAAAATGTAATGTTATCCATGTTTAGGTCCATATATTTAGGCAATTCATCTCATTTATATAACATAACAAGGGTAAGAGGTACAAAGGGATTTATGTGCCTCAAAATGCAGAGAGCTGCCTACTGGAGTTTACAAAAATATCTAAGTAGTTTAGGTGCCTGACTCCTACTGACTTTCAGTTCTCAGCATAATTCTAGCACGCACAATTACACCATACAATGTGGGTCTGTTAAAACAGCAGAGTGGGTGTCTTCTCCTCACAGCATTAGCATAGCAGAGATTTGCCTTCTGCCAGATTCAGCTAAAGAGTTACAAGGTTTCAGAGGATGTCTTGCAGACTTCGCCAGTCTGACATGTCCCTGTCCTAATCTGGGGTGATATTTAAACCAATTAACTCATAGGCAATATCACGTTCAAGGTAGACTTTCTTTCATGTGCTTAATCACAATCTCAAAATGTTACCACTCTTTTACATCCAGAAAAAAGATCCTAATGACAAAGTCAAGAGCTTAGCATCTTAGCATTAACATTGTTATTCCATTTCTTTCCACACTTTTTGAAAATAGTTCAATGCATGTTTGTATAAATACTTGTGGAAGAAACTATGTTTATAAAGATTTTTGTGGGCCCAAGAAATCCCTTCCCAAAACCCAATTCTCCCCAAGGTTATGGGGTGCCAAATTATTTTGTACTAGAGGCTTAAAAAACCACCGTATAGAACCTGCCTAGTAAAGGAAGTCATTAGCAGTGCACAGCTGCTACAAAGATAGGAGCTAAGTGACAGAGAAAATTATCAAGAGAAATGCTATACAAACAGCAGATGTAACAGAGTTCAGAATTATGCAGACATTTCACAAAGGGGTTGCATAGTAATTCTGATATTTTCCACAGCATTTCCATTTTAAAAGCGCAAAGTATTCTAAATCCAAGTACATTTTGTGGCTTTATATTCACAAGGCGCTCCCCAGTGAACAGTTGTCTTTCTTGCTCTTCCATAGGGAGGAACATACTACAGTCAAGGGGATGATCTCAGCAAAGACAAAGAAATCCGGCTGAATCATCAGCTGGTTTAAATGGACAGAATTTCATTTCTAGCAAGGAAAAGAATTTTTCATATGAATGTGTGCACTTTTTCTAATTCTGCCTTGCAGCGCCAGTATGCAGAAGACGGGAGGAGTATGCTCACTTCCAGTGCTCTGGTTATACAATAGGAAACATCAGTTCAGTCTAAACCACAGTTGGAAAACTGATGATCATTTTTGTTGCACTTTAGACTTCTAGATCGTGTCATTCCTCTATGATTGTATGGCACTCATCATTTTTTAAAAATTCTTTATGTTCATTACGAACCTTTTAAAAATGGTTATTAGTGTCCCAACATTTACAGAAAACTCCTGCAGAATTTAATAGAGAAGAATCCAATAGTGTTCTACAGAGAGTACTCTAAAGAGCTGTCGAATTTAATAGAGAATTATATCCTTGCTAAGGAATTCTCCATGATGATTTAAATACTGCATTGTAAATGTATCACTTTCTATTAACTTCTATAGGATTTTTCCAGAAGGGAATGATTTATAAGGTTAATCACTTTAATTAACCTTTTTTATGTTTCCCTTAAAAGTACTGGAGGAGTTGGAATAATGCCACTGTAGCCTCAGCTCCAGAAAGGGAAATTTCCAATCGTAATCTCCTTATGGTAGAGGGGGTTAACACTCACTGAGTGGCAAATACAGCTCTGGGGACTGAGTGGTATAAGTGATCAACCCTAAAAAGTGCCAGTGGCTAACTTGGCAGACAAGCGTTGAGGGTAGGGCAGCTTTTTGCCCCGAGAGGCGGAAATGGCGCTCAGATTATCTACCAATACATCCACCAATGTGATCTATGCCATCCTGTGCCAGCAATGCCCCTCTGCCATGGACATTGGCCAAACCAGACAGTCTCTACGTAAAAGAATAAATGGACACAAATCAGACGTCAAGAATTATAACATTCAAAAACCAGTCGGAGAACACTTCAATCTCTCTGGTCACTCTTTGGTTACAGACCTAAAAGTGGCAATTCTTCAACAAAAAAACTTCAAAAACAGACTCCAATGAGACACTGCTGAACTGGAATTAATTTGCAAACTGGATACAATTAACTTAGGCTTGAATAGAGACTGGGAGTGGATGGGTCATTACACAAAGCAAAACTATTTTCCCATGTTTATTCTCCCCCCCCCCCCCACTGTTCCTCAGAAGTTCTTGTCAACTGCTGGAAATGGCCCACCTTGATTATCACTACAAAAGATCTCCGCCCCCCCCAGCTCTCCTGCTGGTAATAGCTCACCTTAAGTGATCACTCTCCTTACAGTGTGTATGGTAACACCCATTGTTTCATGTTCTCTGTGTATATAAATCTCCCCACTGTATTTTCCACTGCATGCATCCGATGAAGTGAGCTGTAGCTCACGAAAGCTCATGCTCAAATAAATGGGTTAGTCTCTAAGGTGCCACAAGTCCTCCTGTTCTTTTTGCGGATACAGACTAAGCCGGCTGCCACTCTGAAACCTCTCAGATTTGGGTGGATGAGGCTTGGAAGCTTTGGATGGCAGCTGATTGAGAAGGTAAACTCTGAATGAAAACCGCCAGGGGGCCAGCAAAGTGGCCAGTGCCAGTGGCTACTTAGTTCCTAGGTTCTTCGTGTATTATGGATCCTGCATGCTCCAGTCATTTAAAACCTGCTACCACATCGGGGATAGCTGATGTGCCCTCTTGCAGGCAACAGCAACACATTAGGCAAGACCTGGAAATTGCAGCGTGGAATGTAGGTTCACTAACAGGTAGGTCAGGAGAGATGGCAATGACTGGAAGGAAAATCCATATACTATGTCTCCAGGAAATTAGGTGGTGTGGATGCAAAAGTAAAATCTTGAAAGGTGGATTTAACATTTTTTGGCCTGGAGGAAAAAGAAAATGAATGGAGTAGCTACTATTGTGACCCCAGAGATTGCTCAGTGTGTCATGAGGGTAGAAAGAAGAGACCGACTGACAGCACTATGGCTGATGACAGAGAGTAGGGTTATGTGTGATGTCAGCATATGCTGTGCAATGAGGTCGACCGATGGAAGAGAAGAAGAGCATTAGCAATGAGCTAGCAGAGTTTGTGGTTATGAGTGACAGTATCATCTTGTTAGTGGTTGGGGGTGATATGAACTTGCTGTCCATGAAAGGGGTGGTGGGTAAATTTGGCTTTGATAAAAGAAATGCAGAAGGAGAGAAGTGGGTTGAGTGATGTTTGTTCTACGGATTTTCAGTGGTGAATACATGGTTTGAAAATAAGAGAATCCCACGCGGTGACATTCTACAGCACAAAAAGTAAAACCCAAGTAGACAATATTTTGATAAGAAGAGAAACACATGAAAAAGGTGAAAGCTATAAAGGTTACACTGAGTGAATATGTGCCAGAACAAGGTAAGGTATTAATAGCTAAAATCTGATGGCAATTTGAGATAACAGGAAAGAAGATGAAATTGAGGAAGAAATTGCATTGGTGGTTTTGTAAGAGGGAGAGGGGGAGAAAGGAAGAGTTCTGCCAAAAAGTAAAGGAAGGCTTTCATGCTTTGCCAACAACAGTGAAGTCATTGAACCATTGGAAGTAACATGAGGCAGAGATGAGGCACTTTCAGAGAACAAGCTGGTGGTGGAAGTCACATGTACAAGAGAAGTTAAAAAGAATAAAGAATTATTCAAAGAGTTTGAGGCAGCAGGTCATGATAATGAGAATACAAAATTCATACAAACAGGCAAAAAAAGAGGCTAAGAAGGCAGTTGCCAAGGCAAGAGTGGATGCTTGGGAGGAATTATACAGAAAGCTGGAGAAGATGATAGCAGGAAATTGGTTTGGGGGTTGTTAAAAGAGAGAAACAATGAAATACAAGATTTGAAGAAATCTGTGTGTGAAGGACGGGAACTGTGTGGTGACTAACCCTAAAGAGGTGGTTGAAGTACAAAAAAAAAATTGCCAAAGGCTGCTAAATGAGAAGAAGGAGTTGCAAATGCAAGCACCACCAACAATTATGGAGAAACCTCAAAAGATATCGATCGCAGTAGAGGAGGTAGAAGCAGCACC